CTTTCTCAGAAATGTTGTTTTCAGGTTAAAAGTCAAGGCTAGTTTCGGTAAATTTTTGTAAAAAAACCGCCATGTCTTGGTTATCAATATGTCAGACTGTAGTATAAATGGATTTTCCAACGTTATTCATAAGCAGTAATACATTCATGATACGTCTATTTAGCTTGAAAACATATAAGAAGCAAACGACAACTTGAAAATCAATTTCTTTCATGTGTATGGGCATACGTAAATTATATTAATTGCCTTAATCGTTTTTAACAAATAATTGCGTGTACTCTGTTATATAGTAAAATAAAAACTGGATAATTATTAATAAGTTGTATGTACATATACCTTAGGGAAAAATTTATTACTCAGTTTCAGTATGACGTTATTTTTGTTTTTGTCCAAGGAGATATCAATTACTTTGCTTTTCGAAATTCTCAGATTAGACATCGAATGTATGAAAGCAGGACTGTTGAGACCATACCATCCAAAACTCACTTTATCTTTTTGGAAGTAGAAGATGGAATGCAGAACAAATACTTCATCAAGGAAGATTAGCCGCGTTGCGAAAATTGTTTTCTCGAAAATGAATTAGTTGAATATGGGTTTAATGACTATTAACCTGCAGTCTAATCCCAAAATATTTAATTCATGTCACGATTCCGAATTCTGAATCAGCTCCTTTCAATTGCCTTTAATCATTATACTCTATCAATAATTGCTACTAAATATAACGCATTTTTCACATTGATTCTTGATGTGCTTATAAATACATATATATTAAGGAAACATCCACGCAATAAAATCCTTTAGTGAGTCAGTAGAAATCGGCGTCACATTTAAGCTTTATATCAAAACAAAGGGACTCATCCAGTTTGTAAAATTCGTTTTTAATTAAAGGACCCTTTTGAACCCAACCGGCTGTCAAACTAGTATACCAAGGTCTAAAACTAGATTATGCATACAGTCCAATTAAGGAGAAGTGCTCATTATACTACGCTATGAAGAAGGCACCAAGTGCTCAAGGTATTTAAAGTAGATGTGTACAAGCTCGTATGATTTACAAGCACTGCTAATTAATTAATAAATACGATGCATACTGAACGAAAAAGTCACGGTCCTAAAAAATTAAATGATTTCAAACCACGTAAAACCACAAGTAAACATATTTTTCAAATAATATTAAAAAAAGAATATTTTCGTGTTGATTTCTATAGTTTATATCTGTATTTATAGTCAACAAAAACCAATATGAAAATTCATTACAAATCAATAGTGGTTTTGAAAGAGTGTAGTTCTTGCAGAACACCGAAAATAATCTTGTTTTAAAACCAGCATCCTACCGCGACTAAATTCTTTTGGGATTAGGCTGCATGGCAAGTAATATTACTACCACAATAAAGCATTTTTGAATCAAATACACATTTAAAAAATTCGGTTTGCTTTTTGTAAATCAAGTAAATCTGAATGCAATATGTTTTCTTAAACTCACGGTTTATTCATCTTTGCTGACTTCTGCCCCACAACGGCACATTCAAAATAACATTCTTGCTTTCGCATTTGATTAAGGTACGGTATTGCGCGATCGCTCGTCATTTGCACTTTTAACACACTTAGTTGCATCCACTATTATGTATTCTCTCGCAGTCCTCTTACTATAAATCAACTAGAAGTTGATTTTTTCGAAGATATTTGGTGCAAATTCCACTTCGTTCAAGTATATTTTACCCTCTGGCCGATGTTCATCTACGTGCCGCGTTTGCCCTATATTCGATATAAAAAAGCTCAAAAGCTGGTGCTGACAGCGGGATTGGCCAGTCGTTTTTTGGATGTGATGCGATTAAAGTGTCAGATAATGCGAAAGATATTTCAAAAAATAGTGTTGTACATTCCTTTCTCCGTGCATGCTTGTTTTTGGAGGTTTTCGAAGGAAAACCTGAGATATGGATAAACGTGGAATAAAATGTAATTGGGATCTGCACAAACGATCGCATCTGCTAGAGAAATTGAGTTTAAACCCTATTGTAAGAGTAGTTCTTTACTGCGTATAAAAGCTACATAAACAGTATAATTCGTGCCAACTTAAAGCAGATAACAATGTTCAGTGAAGAGAAATCTATATTACAATCCAAGGTATTTGTTAGTTTCGATAAAAGAAAAGTCGAATGAAGATTTGCGTATTTTCCGATCAAGTTCATAGAGCCTGTGAAATGCTAATTGTTGATCTTCATAAGGTATTCTCCGCAGAACCATTTGTTTTCAATCTAATTTACCAGCTCTCTTTCAGCATGTTCTTTTCCGATAAACTTTACGGCAAATCGTACGTGGTGAAACCTACTGTTTACGAGTAAATGAATGGATAGAAACAAAACGTTTAGGTTATTTGACAAATTAAAGCCTACCATGATATCGGTTATGAAATTAAGGCCCGCAGGTTGATTACACTCATTTGAGTTGTATAAGACTGACATTCAACCATCATTACCGTTTACCTGCGTAATAGCTCTTCGGAAGTGTTATGTACTACTGTTGTCTTAAAAAGCAGTGGTTTTTTCACATCACCGAATTTAAATCCACAAGCAAATTGCCACGACCGAATGCGGAATGGGAGTCTTTTATACTCCGTGATGGACTAGGGACACGAAAACGAGCCCACGCGCAAATGACCCCCTAAGCGGTTGCCTTCGCCCACTAAAATTTCCGCCTCAGAAAACATAAATGCGGCCAGGGCCGTTAAATAAATCACTTCTTGAAAGTCACTGTTATCTCGTCCGCTCTGCTGCTGTTTACGACCCACCTACGCAATTATTGCTATCTATTTACTATGCTTGCAGCCGAACTTATGTCCTCTTGCCCATGAACAGTCGACAGTCTTGCGAAGGTAGCCATCGGCTCTGAAAAATTGTCAAGGGTATTATAATTCAGCAACTATGTCTTCGGTTTTATTTTGTTTGCGGGGGAGGTAATTTCATGGAACGTGCGAGCGAACTTCCTGAGTCAGTCAAGCGCAAAAACTGGACATCCCCATGTTTAGTGTTGAGGTTTTACCAGATTTAGGCATTTGCCCTGGGGAAACGCCACTGCACTGCGCTTCAGATTATTTTTTTGTGATGCTAATAACAGACGTGGGGGAAGAACTTGAAGTAATTTGCGACTCTACTGGGCACTTCAAACAATTATCGAACCAAGGAAGCACGCCGATTATAACTGAACTGGCTGTTATTTATTAAAACCATCTTACTGTACGCCAACTGTATCATGAAAATAACGCAACTGTTGAACGTCCAATAGCTTTAATGTTTGGCATGTTTACCGTTTGGTTCGACTGGGAGTGAGAAAAAATGGAATCTTTAAATCGTGCCTGAGGAGAACGAGGTACAAATTTATAGGCAGTCATAACAAAACGAATCAATGGCCAGTTCCCACTACAACTTTCTATCTCCAATTCTAAGTTTTGTAAACTTCATCAAAAATCGTAGATCCTGATTATTCTTTTGTTCGTGATGGATTGAGTAAGTTGAAAGGCAAGTGCGAAGCAATCCCTAAGCAAGTAGATACATTTAAAATGCTACAGTCCACACCTTTCCTTAGAAAGGAACCATTTATTCTAACAATAGATATCTCAAAAGTGTGCGCAGCTATTACAGATAAAATTTCGAATCATAATAATAATAATAATAATAATA